ATTGGACCGGGAAGAAGAAAAAATTCTGATCCGACAAAAATTCAGCTACCAACTAGAAATTATTATCGTGTAATTGTTTGCTAACTAGAGTTTTGTGCCAACTGATATTAGACAGTGGTGGTTAGAAGACGATACAACAGTCAATCATTTGAAAACACTTTAAATAGAAAACCAATTCTACACAGTTTAATTTAATAATATTTGTGCAGAAAATCTTATTATTTCATCTATGAGACTTGTTGTGTAGTAAGTAATCTTACTTTAATTGCAATTATATCAGCAGGATCTAGGAAGCAAAGATAACTTATCTTCAAGAAAATGTGAAGACATGATACTAGAGATGTCAACGACCTAGGGAAAATATGGAACAATTCAAAAGATTAATCAACCAGTGAGAAAATGGCTAAGATCAGTAGTACTGTAGTGAACGAGAACACAAGTGAGTCAACCGGATTGCATTTAACGAAAATTACAGCGTTAGTCGGTAACATAGGAAAACCATATCGTAACCGTTAATTTGCAAATCTTCAATCCATCATCAATCCATTGTCTGACATTTCACTATTCATGCGTTTCATACAAATACCATTGTGGTGCGCGCTACTTATAAGGAGTATATGACGCGGGTGAAAACGTAATGTCTGGCAGCAGAAGATGGGGGGAGATCAAGAAAGGAAGAGTGGGAACACAATGGAATTTGTATGAAACGCATGAATAGTGAAATGTCAGACAATGGATTGATGATGGATTGAAGATTTTCAAATTAACGATTTACGATATGGTTTTCCTATTTTACCAATTAACTCTGTAATTTTGAGATAAAAACAATTCGGTTGCCCTCATCTATGTTCTACTTCACTACAGTAGTAGTGGTAGTAGTAATACTGTTTTGGACACTACTCATAAGTAGTATACAGCATAGCGTCAACTAGATGTTGCCAACACAGAGAAGAATATCAAAAGATCGAAATGTGCATGTCCCGATCAGAGTATCTTCTTGAAGACCAGAAGACATGTGAAAGCAAGACAGTCAATAAGAAGCTTAGATTGCAAATCGATAACTGAAGTCTATGTGTACATAATTCGTCATCTCCAAATATCTATTTGTAGTCCATCGCGTTTTGATTACTTCGTAAACTACATTAACAGTGTAAGGAATACAGACAATTGGATTAGCACGAACCTTCTAAAAGACAAATGGTAGAAATTTAAGTTGCTAGATTTGTTGAGGGCGTTAGATCCCCAGTACTCACAAGGAAAAGGTCCGAATTTTTAATTTTATCCTGAAGATTTTGAATAATTTTGTTTTCTCGCCAAGAGACGCTTAGTTGACCTTCAGCTTACATTTCCCACTCGGAGAATCCTTGACTATCATTGGTTGATAGATTATTTTAGTACGCTATTTTGTGGCTCTCACTAAGGGCGTTTCTATCATTGTATAAATAAGCTTGATTTGTGTGCTTAGCAACTTTAATCTTTCTGGGTGCGTGTAGTATACAATCTCTATGCCTTATCAAGACTTGTTGATCTAGTTAGCCGGGGGGTAAAAACGGATTAGAGTAGCCTAACGTGTCACTGCATCATTGATCTGCGCTCCATATACCGAGTAAAGTGAACTCGTAACAGCATTCAAACATATCAAGATTGTGTAAGAATTAACCTTAAAAAACACATAGATATCACATAGATGAATATGTATTTATATTTGAGAGAAAAAAAGGTTGTTTCAACCTCAAACAACAGGATAAGTCAAATGAGATCAACGGCATAAAACACTTCTTTTTATGTACACATTAACACACACACGCACACACACAAACAAACAATCAACAATTATTATTACATTAATCAACAAGTTGACCTTTAATTTTAAGCTTTTTCAAAACACGTCCCTGTTCTAAAGCGGCTGCTCGTCGACGACGTTGTGAACTCCCTATACCATCACCAGCTGATGATGAATTATCCGAGTCTAAATTGCCAGTATATCCACCACTGCCTGATAACGCTGGAGAAGATCGATTCGGTGTCAGTACATTAGAAGAATTGTATAGGCCACTATTATCTGAAGGATTCATGCAAGATGATGATGACGATGGATTCAATCGAAATTGTTTCGAATCTGATTTGTCTACTGTGGTATTATTATGAGTAGTAGTTGAAGTAGTAGTAGTATTAGTGGTAGTAGTAGAAGTAGATGGTATACCATTGTTGACAGTGAGATTATGCAAACCTAAACTTCCAGCAGCTGCAGCCAATGTACCAGCGACACCAAGTGAATGACGCGGTAGAATTGGACGTTTTGAGTCGGCTACACGGAGAGCGGCTAAAATCGCTGGATCAATCAAATTATAGTATGAATCTTCTGGTGAGTCTGATAAACTAGGATTTGGTAGACTGATAAGTCCACAAGGTAATGGCTAGAAAGAAAGTTTATAGAGAGAGGAAAAAAAAACAATTATTTTTTTCTAAGAAATGTTTTGATTTGATTTGATTTTATTTTTGAATTAAGAAAAAAGTCCTATGAAAAATCTTTAATACAAAATAACCTACAAAGATAGGAAGCATTCGGAGGTGTACACAATTTGAAGTGTTTAGGCGGTTGGGACATGTGTTGCGAATGCCTCACCACCGACTGCTGCGACGAGCTATGTTTTGTGGTGTAGGAGTAGGTTAAAAGAACCCTAGGGACGGCCAGATCAAAACATGGCACAAATCCATAAAGTCACTGAAGACAAGTGGACTGAGTCATGTTGGTAGATGTAGACTACGTGGTTGGGGTCCGCGAGACGAAAGTCACTAATGGTTAGAGACCTTGAACGACACGGCTGGAAATCGTTTGCAATGGCGCAGGTGCATGTATTCGCTGTGCTCTCTCAAATCCTAATCTTCTGGATTCGTCAGCACCTCTACCTTTGTCTTTCTAACCTTATCTCACTCACTAAATCATACTTCTTGAATAATATCTTCAAACCCTCGTCTTCTTCATTACAATTAATGCCTATACTATCTCTATCACTATGGGATATAATTTGACATTTGCGTCTCTGTTCTGATGTGGTATGGCAACATCAACTGTTGTACTTACGTACGAAGTTCTATGTTGTATCTGACTGACTGAACTTTAGTGTTATGCTCGTCAATTGATATGCTTGAAATCATTAAGAGTTCACCTTAGTCGGTAAACGACAGCGAAGACAAATGATCCAGTGACTCGACAGGCTACTGTAATCCGAGTGTCCCAAAACCCCACTAAGTATAGAAAGACGTCTTGATAAGGCGTAGAAAGTGTATTCTACAAGTACCAAGAAAATATGAGGTTAACAGGCACACAGATCGAGTTTATTTATACATGATAGAAACGTCCTTGTGAGAGCCACAAAAATAGCGTACTAAAATAATACGTCAACCAGTTATAGTCAAGGATTTTTCGGGTGGGAAATGCAACCTTAAGATCAACTGACCAGCCCATGCGCGAAAGCACAAAACCCAAAATTAGGACGTTTATCAAGTCAGTTCTGGGGATCTAACGACCCCAACATTTAGTGAACAGCAAATGTTTTGTGAATATCAGTTCAGTAGCTTTTACACTGAGGCGTTATGTCTGAAAGGTGGAACTAGGTAAGGACAATGAACGTTATAAGTTTATGGCATGAAGCTCTCTCTGTATAGGACTTGCACACGTCAATTCATCATGATTTCCAAGTCAAAGTTCTACATGTCATGAAATCCAGTGATTGTATTGCCTAGCTACAATTCACTTCTAAATACCTCATAATATTATCAGTCTATCTATTTTGTGTGACGCATTTTCAGTTTCTCCTACTGATATCAAAGATTTGATTTTAGAAATTAATAAAATGACTGAAAAATGTAGAAAACACCTTGTAACATTCAATTTGAACATGGTATATTTAAAAATTAAAATCTTGATATTTGAGTAAAATTATTCGGGAAATTCATTGCATCCAGCGAGATAAACTTAAATACTAGGCATTCTCACCCCTCAGTTCAGTAAATTCACACACTCTTCCATAATGAAAAATTGTACTGATGAAAACATTTGTAATGGTAATTACAAGTCCAATATTAAACTCTCGCATAGACATGTGTCCCTGGTGGTTGAACTTTAAAAACACGGACAACAAAAGCCGTTTGTGTCCTGTATCAAGTGATTATCTCATAAACTCACGACATGGCTCGAAATCGATCGCAATGGCGCAGGTGCATTCGTTCATTGTGTTCACTCATTTTTCTAACCTTCTGAATTCCTGATCATCTCACTGAGATATCTTTGAACCCTAATCTTCTCCATTACTACTAATACTTCTACTATATCTACCACTATGGGATTAGAACTAACCGTTGAGTCTGTGTGCTGATGCGGTATGGCAACCGGAACTTATGTATTCATGTACGAAGTTACGATTCCAGATAGATTAAATCAATACAAATCCAGTTACGTTTCGAGATACCATCTTAATCAGAAACAAACTTATTAATGAAAGGGATTTATAAAGATTTTATTATTTCCATAGTTCAAATCACCAACTGATCGAAACTGGACCATGGATTGATTGAAGATAAACAATAGCACCATTGCGTGTCAACTGAATAATCTAGAAGTCAAGCGTTTTTTCACGCAACGTACAACGTTCTCAGTCCAATTCCCATGCACAGAAGTCATGGATGCGTATTGCTGAAAGAGACCTAATACTAGGAGTCAAACAGCTGTTTAATACTTTCAAATTTCAGTTAGGATATTCATCAAATATCCTAAAGAAATTATTTTTTTTAAGTCTAATTCGATTGGTCAATTATTTAAGGTCGTCCTAAACTAAATGTTCACGGTCGACCTAACTGTATAAATATGCATTGTCTCTGTAAAGTTTTATGCTCCTCTTCTCCTTCTTCTGTACAAGATCTCATATTTTCTGGGTGCTTGTAGAATACACTTTCTACGCCGCCATAGCAAGACTTTTTGATACCGTTAGCAGGACCTTCGAATGCTCGGATTAGAGTAGCCTGATGTGCCAATGGATCACTTGTCTCTTAGCTCTTCGTTTACCGACTAAGGTGAACTCGTAATATAGTTCAAGTATATCAATTGACGAGCATAACAAATGCCTAATGATGGTCTAACCTAAATCAATACATGATTTCAATTTTAAGGCAAACTACACAAAAGTGTACAACTCTAATCAATAAAAATGGTGGAGAAGATTTGTAACTCGGGTGGATGATTGTGGTGGTGGTATTTGGTTCTCTGATCTGGATGTGTTTGGTTGTGGAGCTTTCATTGTTCTTCTACTGAACAACATCATCAGCACAAACTTCAGATAGCTGAAGTGAAGCATTCGAATTTCTCCACATTTGACCTGTAGCTTGTTCTGCTAGCCTCGATTGGTTGATTGGTTGCTGTTGTTCTTAAACCTGTTGTTGTTTGCACCTTTGTTTTGATTGTATCCCCCTTTCTTGATCTTATGTCACCTTTGATTTTCCTGATTGGTTGGTAAATTGGGTCAATGTCAATGTGTTTGTTGATTGCTGATTGACCTGAGTGCCAAGCTTCTAGTGCTTCGAATTCGAATGCTTCACTTCTTCTATCTGAAGTTTGTGCTGATGATGTTGTTCAGTAGAAGAACAATGAAAGCTCCACAACCAAAAGACCCAGCTCATCTAATCAATATGAAAAAAACCATTTAATCAATATTATTGAACCGAAAAAAAAAACAGAAAACTTTACTTTATTCGGTGCAAATGTTTCTAATCTTAATCGAGCTGAATGTAATTCAAAATCACAATTTAACAAGGCCAAACGTAAATCAAATAATAATAGAATTTTTGAACGTAAATTATTATACAATTCAACAATTTCTACAGTTGCTGGTGGATTTGGATCTGGGATTTGGAGAAAAAAACGAAGATGGGAAAAAGTGTGAATAAGCAAATTCTGTTGAAATCAACTTCAAAGTAAATAAACCAAAAAAAGAAACATTGATCGATTCATGGTTACAAATAAAACTTAACAATCTTCACAACAACCCCGTAATGCAATTACATGTGTTCACTAGTGACTAGCTTGGTGAGGAATCTTCTCCGAGTTCTAGTGGGAAGTCGTGACCAGTGAAGTTCAAACCTGTTCGGATGTATACAGGGTATGAAGTTGCGCAACTCCGTGAATTCGATCAAGTTAGACATTAACACCGTTACATACCGACTCAGTGGTCTAACGGTTAGGGCGTTCGCGCACAATACCGAAGGTCCCGGGTTCGAATCCTGCGGGGTGAAGGAGTCGTGGATGCGCACTGCTAGTGAGTCCCATACCAGGACGAAACGGCCTTCCAGCGCTTCCAGGTTTCTAAATGTAGAACCTAACACATACATCCGGTATACAGAACATGCAACTAGCTATGAATCCATTCAGACAACTAGATAAAAATGTTCAGGGTGAATTCCGCACACTAATAAAGGCAGTAAACCGTATTGATCCTAGGTTGAAAAAAGCTACGGGCGGCCTAACCAAAACATGGCACTAATCCATTAAGTCACTGACAACTGGAGTGAGTCATATTAGTAGGGGTAGACCAACTGGTTGGGGTCCGTGAGACGATAGTAACCTATGGTTAGAGACTTTTAATAACATGACTCAAAATTGTTTCCACTGGGGTAGATGCATGCATTCCTTGACTTCACTTAAAAATTCTAATCTTTTGAATTTCTCATAACTGTCTCTTTATCTTGCTTTTTTAAAAAATTGATTCCTCTCGGATATAACTGTCGAATGATATCTTCGATCACTAAACTTTTTTATTACTGCTCATACTGATACTACCACGATTCGATCTATGTGTGCAAATGCGGTATGGCAACTTGAACTGATGTATGTACGTATCATGCTCTACGTAGTAGCTAAATTACTGACTGGCTGAGTCTACACCTACTTACATGGTTCAGTTCAATAATCAATGTCATCATTGACTGATACCATGTCTTCATTCAGTCACGGCAAGCTCACTTTCAACATAATCTGACACTAGCTATCATTGTGTGTTGAAGTAGTTAGTGGGTGGATATTTGGGTAATATATTTACTATCTCAGTCGATTCAATTTAGTCATTACCTAATATTCTGGGTCTAACCTTGAAATCGCTAACTCGATGATCCTCTAAAATATACAAGCAATATTTCGAGGACACTTATGCTTGAATACTGGTAACCTACAAATATCCTCTATTCGAAAAGGTAACATTTTACTCCTGTGAAGCAGAAACAATTTGCTGAGCAGTAGACTAGGTCTTTAGTTAACAGAAGAGTATCTTGTTACGCTACAAGTAATAGTGATGAGATTCACAAAGGCTTATTAGCTTAGTTAACTCCTGAACAGTTTAAAAGAAATGGAAATGAATTTCTGTCCTTTTCATGTAAGTCTCACGTTAATGACAGCACAGATTAGATGTGATCTTATAGGAACTGAAAATCTACATCAGATCTGAACCCACATTACTCAGCAAGAAAGTCGTAAACATTACCAGTAAACCATTTAAAATATCTTATAGAACTGATTAGTCAACGAGTCCGTGTAACCAATGATATGTTTGTTGAGTTCTTTTTTTAGAGCTGTTCAAATTCTACCAATCAAATAACAATGTGACCACTGCTTTTAGCAATGTGATATCGTGAGCCAATCAGAAGTGGTCTAATAAGGTCATCCGATGACCGTCATAAAGGTGGAATGCACATCATTGGTCAAAAAATGGATTCATTTTCTAAGAGGCAGGAATGTATATATATATGTAAAGGAGTATTTATGGATATGAATCGGCTGCCAAGCAGACATCCTCTTCCACTCTTGTCTTCATGCTTCAGTAGGGTTGGCGTGTATCAACACTTCAATCTCGGAAACCACATATCATACGTTTTCAATAACGACCAATTCATGGCATAGATTTTAAGACAAGTCTAAACTAGTCAATACGTTTACACTGATCTAGACAAATTCAAGATTTATTCTATAACTTTTCAACTGTGCTTCTTATTCGATGTGTCTTTCTTCTGATATGCACACAACGCATATACTTATAGACACCTGTTATCACTTATGAAGCATAAGCCACCGATTGAGATTCTCTAACCAACTTTATTTATCTTCAAACTGGTGGTGTATCATGAGTTTGCGTCTTAATGCATCTGCTTCAGTTTGTGGTGGTCTGGTGTAACGGAGTCAAAATCACCATGTGTGATGATGCTAACCCGTTCGGTTTTCTTTCTATTTCAGGGCGATCAAACATAAACGCTTTGGAAGTTGAAGAACAAGCCCTGAGTGCTTCGAACTTACAAGATAACTCATAAGACTTTGGTACACTAGCCAGCCTTTTTCTGTAAAAACCCCGCGTATTTTATTTTCAAATAAAAGAGTGCTGTGGTTACCCACTTCGTGTTCTCTCTTGGTGTGAGCTGTTAAATTAACCTTGTGCGTTGTGATTTTAGATCCTATCCGCCCTTCAGCGACTGTTGGTTACACGTGTTACCAACAGTTTGTTTACAATCCAACAGAGCACTAACAAACAACATAATCTATATCCAACTAAACCTCATCATACGAACAGTGAACGGATCTGTTTTAATTGCCTTTCTCAACTAGCAAACTTTAAATCTTATTTAATGCAGCCTGATTCTCGCTGTGGTACTGCCACAAGATAATTTTCCTAAACAATCCGATATCTTGTAAACAACACTGAATCAGTACATATTCGTTCAAGTTCACTTTATAAAACGGCATATAGAATTAGGCATTGTTATATTATTACGGGGTTGTTGTGAAGATTGTTAAGTTTTATTTGAAACCATGAGGAGTCCCATACCAAGACGAAACGGCCGTCCAGTGCTTCCAGGTTTCTAATGGTGGTCTAACATTGATCGATTCATGGTTTCAAATAAAACTTAACAATCTTCACAACAACCGCGTAATGCAAATTACCTGTGCTCACTAGTGACTAGCTTCGTAAGGGATCTCCGAGTTCTAGTGGGAGGACGTGACCGGTGGAGTTCAACCTGTTCGGGTGTAGACAGTAACTACCGAAGACTGTGTATAAGGTTGCGCAACTCCGTGAATTGATCAAATTAGACATTAACACCGTTAGATACCGGCTCAGTGGTCCGATGGTTAGGAGTTCGCCTACAATACCGAAGGTCCCGGGTTCGAATCCTGCGGGATACGGGAGTCTTGGATGCGCACTGCTGAGGAGTCCCATTCCAGGACGTAACGGCCGTCTTTCAGTGCTTCCAGGTTTCTAATGGTGGTCTAACATTGATCGACTCATGGTTTCAAATTGTTATGTCATACAGATGAGCTATAACCTTAGATTTGCTATCTAGAAATTCACACATATCAATTTTCACCGTTTTGTCCTATTATGAAACAGCCTCTTGTCAATTTCAATATACAATATATTCAATATACATTAAAAATACACTTCGAATAATTTGAAAGATTATTATTTATCTTAACAAAAATTTTTAAATAAAAAACCAAACTTACCAATTTGTAAATGACCTAAGAAATTTTCAATAATTCGTGTTTTTTTCTGTCCTAAATTACTGGGTAATTTCATCTGAAAAAGTTTAATGAAAGAATGATTTTTTTTGCTTTTAATGATAGAAGTAGAGGATGGAGAAGATGACAATATGAAAAAGTATACAATCTTCAAATGCGACTGGTACAGTAAACAGTGAGTAGAGTCCGTTCGTCCTCTGAAAATGCTACCATATGACCCATATGGTATGTACTAAATATCAAGGGGAAACCTATTACTCACTGCCTCCGTGTCACATAGGTGTTGTTTACGGAATTGTGACGACTAATAACGAACCTACATCCTGAAACTTTAAACTGAAAGAAAAACATTAGGTGCCTGGTCAGTCGTCCAGACGTTAAGCGTGCGAGACTGAAGGGTTCGATTCCAACTTGCAGGTATCATGGATGCGGCGCACTGCTGAGGATTCCCATACTACGACGAAAGGGCTATCTAGTGCTCCTAGGTTTCCAATATGATGGTCTAACATTCATCGATTCATGCAGGCTTTAAATGGAATCCCAACAATCCCTACAATCCTATACTCAGTCAGTCAGTCAGATGCAACGTAGAACTTCATACGTAAGTACATCAGTTCATGTCGCCATACCACATCAGCACAGAGATGTAATTGTCAATTCAAATCCAATAGTAGAAGAGGCAGTTAAGGTATTAGAAGTAATCGGAGAGGTTAGGATTAGAACATATTATTCAAGAAGTATGATTAAATGCGAAAAGTTTAGAAAGTCAAAACTAGAGGGGTCGAATAATCCAGAAGATTAGGATTTGAGAGAACACAAAGAATAAATGCACCGGCGCCACTGCGAACGATTTTGAGCCATGTCATTCAAGGTCTCTAACCATCGATTATTATCATCTCGCGGACCCCAACCAGGTAGTCGACACCTACCGACATGGCTAAATCCACTCGTTAATGACTTCATGGATTTCTGCCATGTTTTGGTTTGGCCGCCCCTAGCTTTCTTCCAACCTATTCCTACACCACAAAACAAAGCTCATCGACGCAGTCGGTGGTTAGGCATACGTAACACATGTCCCAACCACCTCAACTGATGAAGTTTCATTACTTCATCTATTGATCTGTCATCCTTACCTAGTACTCGATTCCTAACGACAGCATTGCTTACTCGGTTGTCCCACGGTATACGAGCAACGCTCCGAAGACACCTATGATCGAAAACCAGTAACCTACGAATATCTTCTACTCTTAACGGCCATGTTTCACAGCCATATAGGAGAACGGAGCGAACTGCTGCACAGTACACTCGTCCTTTGATTAGAGAACCGATATCACGCCTACGCCATAAGTGACGCAGGTTGGCAAAAGCCAATCGAGCCTTCTGTATCCGAGCTGAGATTTCGTCAGTCACCAGGCCATCGGCACTGATGAGACTCCCAAGATAAGTGAAGCGGTCTACACGTTCGACTACTTCACTCCCTATTACTAGTTCAGGTGCCGATGCAACCCAATCTTGAAGCAACATTTTGCATTTCGAGGGGGAAAACCGCATCCCGAACAATCCTATACTAACAAATAAGGACTGACTATTTGTTCAAACATCAATTTTCTGACCTTGGAAATATTGCGTGTGTGTATGTAAACAACGAAACTTTAAACAAGAATTTTATCAAAATAATGGCAGATTAACTAAGCTAATCACACTTATTTATTCAACATTATCAATGAAGTATGCTAGATACAAACTTATAGCCATCCTATATGTCAGATCGATAAAAGTAAAATTGACACTGACAACCTTGAATGGCCTATCAGCCAATCAGAAAAAAACGTTATCTAGCTATAAAAACAATCAACAGCCAAGAGTCATAGATTTAATCTAATCAATAATCAAACTCTCAAACATCCAACTATATTCCTTGTAGTAGAAGGGAAAAGTTAAGTTGACATTAGTGTTATCCTTTCACCAACTAAAACCAGATACGATGCTAAAAGGATCAGAACTATGTTTTAAAGGTTAGGCTGGAGTTCTGAGTTTAGTTTTTCAAACTGACATCAGCTATGATGCAATACTTTGTCATTCTACTGTTTATAAACTTGATAAATCTATAATTAAGATATAGAGTAAGAGTTGTAAGGAGAGATTATTATTGTTCAGCTTGATTAAACACTCTTGACAATGCATTAAATCACAACGAATAATTTATTGAACGATTTGCTGTGAGAGCAATTATGCTTGGTCGTTTAGTTTAAGCATCATCTTATATTCACTTTTTTGATTTCATGACAAAATTTATAACTGATATCATTTTCTAATGCACCAACCAAATCACTCTTGATGGAGATGCCTTGGAGGACGTTAACACATTTACATATCTGGGCAGCATCATCGACGAGAAAGGTGGATCCCATGCAGATGTGGAACGCAGATCGGCAAAGCAAGGGCTGCATTTCTAAAGTTGAAAAATATCTGCAACTCCAAACAACTTTCAACCAAAACCAAAATCAGGATTTTCAATACAAATATCAAGACAGTTCTACTGTATGGAGCGGAAACATGGAGAACTACCAAAGCCATCATCCACAAAATACAAGTGTTTATCAAAAGTTGTCTACGCAAAATACTTCGCACCCGTTGGCCAGACACCATCAGCAACAACGTACTGTGGGAGAGAACAAACCAGATTCCAGTGGAGGAAGAAATCAGGAAGAAGCGGTGGAAGTGGATAGGACACACTACGAAAAGAACCGCACTGCGTCACAAGACAAGCCCTTACATGGAACCCTCAAGGCAAGAGGAAAAGAGGAAGGCGAAGGAACATATTACGCCGAAAAATAGAGAAAGATATGAGAAGAATGAACAAAAATTGGACAGAGCTGGAGAGGGAAGCCCAGGACAGAGTTGGTTGGAGAAAACTGGTGGGCGACCTATGCTCCATTGGGGGTAACAGGCGTAAGTAAGTAAGTAATCATTTTCTAAAGATTATACATAAAAATTATCTATCGCTGCTGTTTAAATTTCGCGCAAACTATGTGAGCGGTCAATTCAATTCTGATTGGTTAGTTGTTCAAGGTCATCGATATAATGTACTTTAACCAAAATATCATCATCAGATAAGTGTATCAAAAAAAGGAATTAGATTTCAACGGAAACAACATTTATGAAAAGGAATAAATAAAACTGAAGAATCCTAAAACTATTAGTGACAATTATTAACACTTAAGATTTAGAAGAGAAGAGAAAAATGTAATGTAAATGCACTACCGTTTCATTTAAACAAAAATTTCTTTAACCACATTATCACGAAAACTGTACGGAAGCTACTAATCAAGACGTGTACATGTATTAAAACAATTCAGATGAAAAAATTAAAAACAAACACTATTATTTACCTTTTGACTACGTAGATGTGCACCAGAATTTTTGCTAACATCTAAAAAGTTTATTGAATATTGTGTATTCTAAAAAAAAACAAGGAGTAAAAAATTTAAAATATATAGAGAAGTTTTTAATATTTAAAAGTGAATTTTAATTATTCTTTTATCCAATGAACATCTTGAACAGATTGCTTCGATATACAGTATGATTTTACAAATTTTTATGTAAATTTAAATCATCGTTACCAGTGGAATCTTCGACATGCATGTCGTCCAGTTTATGACTGACTCATCAGTTGAATGTACCTACAATCCAAAGTTAGTATTCACATTCAACCACTTAAACAAAATATCTTTCAATTCACTAACATTCAATGTGTTATCTATTAAACTGTTGAGTTCCAGCCTTCACATATGCATCAGGTACACTGTGCTCATCAATTATACTGCCCAGAGAAGTAAAGGTTTCCACATCTTTCAAAGCTTCTACGTCAAGTGTGATTTAGGTGATGTGTGTTGAGTTTTATCGAAGGATCTTTCTTGTTTCTTTGTGCATGTTTAGACCTACTTCTGCTACACTGCTTGTCTTCTTCTGCGTCTGTTGATGCGTATACGATAGAAAAGTCAAATCATCTTTGAAGTCCAGATAGCCCAGTAGCATCCCAGCTGTCCCATGCTTTCCTTGAGATGTTGACGTTTTTATAATCCAGTCGATCACCAGGAGAAAGAGCAATAGTGAGAGTAAGCAACCTTACCTGAAACCGGTCTTCACCTCGAACGAGTCTATCAGCTGTCCTCCGTGTATGATTTTGCAGTTGTTGCCTGTGGGATAGATCACAGGGCTATTTAAACTTAATAGCTTTAAGCCGGTGTACAACATGTTTTTATTGGAAACAACAAACGGTATTAGGTTCAAGTTTCAATCTAGCTAAAATCACTGCCTACATTCCACCGCTAACCAGAGAATTAGCACATAAACATATGCTCACCATCTATTGGCTGATTCGACACTCACAATGATGAATGATTGTAGGAATAGGTGAGAAGAAAACTAGGAGTGGCTGAACCAACACATTATACCGATAATCTACAAAGGTATTGATTGTAGGATTGGTCGGAATTTTGTGTGATCATTGTAACCAGTTAGTCAGTAACGTAAAACTTCCTACGTACATACATCAGTTCAAGTTGTCGTACCAAATCAGCACAGGGAGATCATTGTAACCGGAGGACTTTGGAGATGTATCCAACAGTAACTTGCGTCGACAGCTGTTAATGATGTTGGGGATGTTAGATCACCAAAACTGACGTTGGTGACGTTGGTGTTTGTCAATTGACAGTTGTTTTTAATTCGAGATGTTCGTTCAATTGTAGAATGCTTACCCTTGCTTTACTAATAATCCGTATCTTTATATCTGAATCAGATCCAACTTGTTTATTAATAAAGCTGCTCATATACATATAAAGATTTTCACATCTTCCATAATTGTGTTGTATCAGAGGATCTTGCTTTATCTCTTTGTGTATATTGAAACCTACTGTGGCAGAGGCTGCTCCTGCTACATTTGCCGTCTTCATCTGCACACATGTATGGAATAGAAGAGCTAAGATCGTCTGCAAAGTCCGAATCGTCTAACTTTATCCCAACTTTCCACTGTGCTTCTGTTGAGATTTTCATAATGTAGTCAAGTATTAAAAGAAATAAACAGAGTAAAAGTAAACAGCCTTTTCTGACACCGGTTTTCACTTAGAATCAATTTGTACTCCTCTACTTCACCATATTGAATGTTTTTTATTACATGTAATTTACCACAGAACTATAATATTGAGTGAATGCCTTGAAACCGAAAGCAGTCAGTCAATCAGTTACAACGTAGAACTTCGGTACGTACGTACATACATCAGTTCAATGATCAATTCAAATCGCATAGCCGTTGAGCTGGTCGAAGTATACGTCGTAATCGAAGAGACAGACATTAGCGGTGCAGTGAGCTGAAGGAATGCGACTAGAGTTAGCTGTAGGGATGAGAGATATTAGGGGGTGTAAGAAGGATTTGATTTTGACCAATTCGGTCTTTCGTACTGTTATGGGTATGAGGGCGGTTATCACTTCCCGGCTGCCCACACCGTGGAAGGTTGTTTCTTGAGGAACCTGAAAAGGAAGATAGATTAGTGTTGGTCTTGGAGACCTGCGTGCGTGACCGCAGAGCCCAGGGGACAACTGCTTGAGACCCGTCACGCACGGCCTTTCTATGAAGGGTTTTCTGAGTATTAGCTCCGCTCTTGAAAGCCCCTAGTGAGCAGCCCTTACCGACGGAGACGGAAATCCGTGAGGTAGGGGAGGTGTGACATTTTTAGGGTCGACCTTTTCTAACCCTTCCTTCCTCCCTTGTGAGAAGGCAGCATCGCTGCAGATGCTAGTTGTCCGAGGGAAACACCTTACCGCTGTCACACCCCTCTACAGTCAGTCAGCAGTACGACTTCACCCTCAGATATTGAGTAGCTGCTTTTAGTCTCATCATTCTCCAATCGACCTGTCTGGCATGGTAGAACCTTCAGGAACATATGTTCCAGCCAGTATACCTCGGTTGGGTCATCACGATAGACAAGGTAGCAGCTACGGTCGGTAATCGAAGAGATTAGAATTCGGAGATATTAATTCAAAAAAAGCGTAACTTTAAACTCACTAGTGCAGTATTAGCTGTATTCGAAGCAGAATTCAATGAAGCACAAATATCTCCAGATGTTACTGAGACTGCCGCCGCAGTAGTTGCAACCGTACCAGTAGTAGTTCCTGCTGCTGCTGCGCCTAGACTATTTACATTTGTACAACTAGAATCTGTATTATTATTATTATTCATCAATGAATTCGGATTGCCAACCAATGGACTGGCTGATGATGATGATGTCAATTGGCCAGTACTATTATTATAACTGCTGTTGTTGTTATTGTTGTTGATCACAGTGAAATTACTAACACTGCCAGGTCGTTTACGTTGTACTCCACTAGTTGATGTTGACAATGAATTATTATTAGTGGACGATGATAATGATGACAGACCGCCACCGCCACCACCACCAGCAACGCCACCAGATGAATGTGTAGAAGATGTTAACCAAGCATTGGCATCATCTGTATTCATTTCATGGCCTGTATGTTCAGTTAAATCACTGTCACGAGTCACACTGTCAGCCTTTAAATAAGAAACAAGAAGAAGAAACACAAAAAAGAAATGAAGTAAAACCTTTTGAGTGACACATCAAAGTGGATATCGATCGACCTGAGAAACTTCGCGCCTACTTTACTATATGCATTTGAAATCATCAATCAATCATTGTTGTTAGACTGCCACCATTAGAAGAAACCTGGAAGAAGCACTGAAAGACGACCGTTTCGTCCTGGTATGGGACTCATCAGTGGCAGTGCGCATCCACGACTCCTGCTCCTCGCAGGATTCGAACCCGGGAGCTTCGGTATTGTGCGCGAACGCCTAACCCCATTGGACTATGGTCCAAAAGATAGTGTGAGAAATTAAAATTGTGGGTTAGAAATTATAGTTAGGGGTTTTTCGTCATGAACTGACATCAACCTATCCAAGACTCATCATCTTGCATCTGATTGGTTCATCTATAAAAATTATAGTTTCGATAAGTTTTGCATCAACAACAATCATGAGGACTCTTATACCCTTAATTCTTTGCACATTTTAACGTATAACTCCGTCTGGATACCCTCTGTGGCTATTGCAGGTCCAAAGACCAGATGAAGGATGAGGGTTGAGCATGTAGTTAGAGGCCCCATCCGGTAGAAAACTAAATATTCAACATTTCCATATTATGTCATACTTGAATGTGAGCAACGATCTAAGTCAGAGAACTAATAATGATACTGCCTGATTCTCTAAACCGAAATGATATGAAATGGGGTTGGAATCTGGGACTTCAGTCAATAGTCAACAACAACAACAACACAGAGCTTCGTACGTACGTACATCAGTTCAAGTTGCCATACCACATTAGAACAGCAATGCGATTGTCAATTCAAATCGCACTAGTTTTGTGACGGTCGGCATTCAACGTGTTCTTAGACTTTGTATGCTGCTCGTCCAGAAGACCGGTAGTAAATAGCGCCTGATGGTTTATAAATCAGAAGACGAATACATCACAATTAGACCGTCAGACCACAGGCACACGAAGATAAAATCCATATGAGAGTGCCGGAAGGCAAGCAAGCTAGCGAGTGAGCGAATCGGTGAACGAATTAATAACATTGAAATGTACATATACATATACATAGGAAAATGGTTGAGTCATCGAAATATCTAACAGATTAACATTAAAGCGAGTAGGATGAATATTCGCGAATGCGGTAAGCAATGTTCAGTCGTACGAGCTCATACAAACCAGACAAAAATAAAAGGCAATAGTACTTTTACGTTATTGCTATGCAAATGACTCGGTTAAATAATTTAATCAAAAGGACTTAACTAAATTAAATATGAACGAACTCAATTAAATGTGGAGGTACTACACTAGTTTCGGACCCAACAACAGTGCACATCCACAACCGCCGCAATCAGGAATCGAACACGCGCAAACGTTTAACCTTTTGACTACTGAGTCAGCATCTAATGGTGTTTACGTCTAACTTCAAACAATCCATGATAGTGCGCGACTATCACCTATCGTGTTCGGTGAGTAACCCTCTCCCTCACAAGCGACACGGGTCGAAATCCAGTGGTCATAGCTAGCTTTCCAATGCCTTTAATATGGCCAGTGAGATTAGAGGATATTTGTAGATTGCTCGTCTTCAATTATAGGTGTCTCCGAAACATTGCGCGTATATCCTGGGACAACCGAGTGAGCAATGATGTCGTTAGGAATTGAGTACTAGGTAGGGATAGCAAATCAATAGATGAAGTATTGAAACTTGATCAGTTGAGGTGGTTGGGACATGTGTTCAATCAGTCAATAGCAACGTAAAACTACGTACATACGTATATCAGTTCATGTTACCATACCACATTAGCACATGTGTTACGTTGGCCCAACCACCGACTGCATCGACGAGCGACGTTTTGTAGTGTAGGAGTAGGTTGGATGAAAGTTAGGGGCGGCCAGACCAAAACATGGCAGAAATCCATGAAGTCATTGAAAAGTGGACTGAGTCATGTCGGTAGTTGTAGACTACCTGGTTGGGATCCACGAGATGATAATAATAATCGATGGTTAGAAACCCTGAATGACATGGCTCAAAACCGTTCGCAATGTCGCAAGTGCATCCACTCTTTGTGTTCTCTCAAGTTCTGACCTTCTGAATTCATCATCGCCTTTATCTTTCTCTTTCTAAATTTATTTCACTGAATTATACTTCTCAAATCGTATCTTCCAACCCTAATCTTCTCTGCGCTAATGCGGTCTGGCAACCTGAACTAATGTACATACGTACGAAGTTCTGTGTTGTATCTGTCTGTCTGTCTATCTATCTTCCAGTCCTTTTAGGTTTTCATTTATGGTTTACAACTTGATAATGACCAATGCATCAGACTATAATAAAATCAATAAGAAAAAATAAAGTATAATTACCAATGAGATAAGTTTTTGTAAATCTTGTTTTTTACGTTCACGTTCTTTACGTCTAGCTTCAATTTTACGTAATTCTACAATTAAACGTTGTTCTTCATCAACTTGATCTTTTGTACGACCGTATAATAGACTTAATTGTTGTTTACGTCGACGTTCATGTGCTGCATCATATCGTAGACCTTGTGAAAGATTTGTTCCACGAGCCTTGAAATGTAAATGTAAAGGAATGATAACTATTATGGTGTAAAAGTTGGATACTTTTTACTATTACAATATGATAATCTATAACTTATCCCCTAAATGCTCTGGTACAATCAAGAACAGGCAGAGTCTATTTGTCCCCAATAAATGCCATGAATATATACCAAATATCAGGAAAAACCTACTGCTCACTGCCTCCGCATTACAAAGCGCAGTCATAGCTAATGATGCCTGTTGCCCTATTTGACACAATGTCCGTACATTAAATGCTCCAACATGTAGTTTAGAACGGGGTTTTAGGAGACCAGGAATGACGTTTCGTGAACTCGCATCGTTTGAGTTAGCTGTGCACTGTGATAAATGAGTGTGAGAAGAGTTAGTTGTGGAGATAAGAGAGGTATTAGGGGGTGTAGGAAGGATTTGATTTTGACCAATTCGGTCTCGTGTGCTGTTACCGGTATGAGGGTGGTTGTCACTTCCCAGATGCCCACACCGTGAAAGGTTGTTTCTTGAGGGACCTGAAAAGGAAGATAGGTTAGTGTTGGTCTTAGAGACCTGCGCGCGTGACCGCAGAGCCCAGTAGACAACTGCTTGAGGCCGGTCACACACGGCTTTTCTATGAAGGGTTTTCTGAGTATTAGCTCCGCTCTTGAAATCCCTTAGTGAGCAGCCCTCACCGACGGAGACGGAAATCCGTGAGGTAGGGTGAGGTGTGACATTTTTAGGGTCGACCTTTTCTAACCCTTCCTTCCTTCCTTGTGAGAAGGCAGCATCACTCCAGATGCTGGTTGTCCGAGGGAAACACCTTGCCGCTGTCATACCCCTCTACAGTCACCAGTACGACTTCGCCCTCAGACCTTGAGTAGCTGCTTTTAGTCTGATCGTTCTGCAATGGACCTTCCTGGCATGGTAGAACCTACAGGAACATAAGTTCCAGCCAATATAGCTCGGTTGGGTCATCGCGATATGGAAGCCCGACCACCACGTCAAGGTAGCAGCTTCGTTGTTTACTAAATTGTTGTTTACTAAATTGTGAGGATGAAAAACGAACACCCGCAGCTTCAACCGGATTGGTGAGTAGAGGATAGGGGATTCTCACTTAAAAGAGTTGGAAAACCCTAATTTATAACTAATGGTGTAAATTGGCTCCAAGTAGTTTGTATCAGTCGGTAGAAAACCGTGAATATATATTTTGTGACAGTTAATAACTTATCAACAAAACATATAGCTGTAATTTTGTAGCGAACTGATACTCATCAAACATTTTGAATTTATATCACCCAAGTTTCTGGTCTAAGTTGTTATCATTGATATCGATAGAATTTGTAAACATTTTAGGTTTAAAAGAGATCAGTCACAATTCTAACAGCTTATTGGTAATATTTCAGATCATGAAGTTCAGTAAGATGATGATTTCAAGATTCTAGGCATTCTCTACTGAATAACCACAACTAAATGAAGGATGGAGAAGTTTAGTCAATTATATGACGTAAATATGCCAGTAGTACAGTTGATTTCAGACACAGTTTAACTGAAGCATAAATCATATGGATAATTGTTATCGTTTTAAGAAATTAGTTATCTATTCAATTGTATTTGTTGAATCCAAATTAGATTGTACTAACAATAATAATAATAATAATAATAATAATAATAATCATAAACGAAACTTGATTTTTAAACATTCAAGATTCAATGCTTATATAATAAAATTCTTGAGGAACCTGAAAAGGAAGATAGATTAGAGTTGGTCCTAGAGACCTGGTTGATCTATGCAAAATCCGTAGATCAATCAGAGTTAGACATTAACAACGCTGGATGCCGCCGGCCCAGTGGCCCAATGGTTAGGCGTTCGCGCACACAATACCGAAGGTCCCGGGTTCGAATCCCGCGGGGTGCAGGAGTCATGGATGCGCACTGCCACTGATGAGTCTCATACAAGGACGAAACGGTCGTCTTTCAGTGCTTCTTCCAGGTTTCTTCTAATGATGGTCTAACAACAATGATTGATTGATGATTTCAAAAATGTGCAACAAACACAAAACTTCCAAAAACTCTGCCTGAAAAATATAATAAAATCATTGAAAATATAATAATTCTGATCAATAACACTACAAATTACCTTATCTAATTGTATCAGAATCCCATAATATCTTTCTTTCAGATCTTCCACAGATGGACGTCCAGGAAATTTTTCACAATCCCATCTATCTCTCATATGAATAAAGCGTAAATCAAAACGTTTCGCTAACTCCATCAAATGTGCAGTACGTTCTTCAGACCATTTTGTATCTTTCAACATTGTTTCATATTCTTCATTAGTGTATTCTGGAATGGTAACATGCTATTAAAATACAAAAATGATGTTACACAGATGTTACGTAGTATATAACTATTCACAGTCAGTCAGTCAGTCATTTACAAACGTAGAACTTCGTACGTACGTACGTACGTACATCAGTTCAATTTGGCATACCACATTTGCGCACAGAGACGCAATTGTCGATTCAAACCCCATAGTAGTAAAGGAGGTAGAAGTATTAGCAGTAATCAAGAAGATTAGGAAGCGAAAATATTATTCGAGATGTATACCCCAGAGGAATCGATTAAAGACAAGAGAAAAAAAACAGTTATGAGGAATTCAGAAGGTTAGGATTTGAGAGAATACAAAGAATGAATGCACCTGCGCCATTGCAAACAATTTTGAATCATGTCATTCAAAGTCTCTAACCGTCGATTACTATAGTCTTGCGGACCCTAACCAGGTAGTCTACAGTCTTGATAAGTTTCGATTTGCTAAGTTGTACAATGGTCGATACCTAACACACTAAGGAGTTATGACAAACTAAACAGACGTTAATACATTAATAACTAAACATTTCATTATACTGTGAATAACTGACCTCTTTTTTTACGCAAAAGCTAAATATTAGCAAATAGTTTGCACTTTACAAAACAGCTGCAACTATATATAGGCCCAACCACCGACTGCCTCGTCGTGCTTTGTTTTGTGGTGTAGGAATAAGTTGGAAGAAAGTTAGGGGCGGCCAAACCAAAACATGGTACAAATCCATGAAGTCATTGACGAGTGGACTTAGTCATGTCGGTAATTGTCGACTACCTGGTTGGGGTCCGAGAGATGATAATAATCGATGGTTAGAGACCTTGAATGACATGGCTCAAAATCGTTCGCAATGGCGCCGGTGCATTTATTCTTTGTGTTCTCTCAAATCCTAATCTTCTGGATTCTTCAACACCTCTAGTTTTGACTTTCTAAACTTTTCTCATTAAATCATACTTCTTGAATAATATGTTCTAATCCTAACCTCTCCGATTACTTCTAATACCTTTACTACCTCTACTACCATTGGATTTGAATTGACAATTACATCTCTGTGCTGATGTGGTATGGCGACATGAACTGATGTACTTACGTACGAAGCTCTACGTTGCATCTGACTGACTGATATATATATATATATATATATATATATATATATACAATATTAACTGACTAAATGGCACTATAAAACCCTCATAACAACTATGTGTGAAAAGTATGCTGTAGAAACTCAATGGGCCTGTTACAATTCCCAACTAGAACTTTGAGGATTACTCCTGACTATCTATAGAATGGGACAACTGTCACTGATAGTTTTTTTCATAAACGTCTTGTTGTATCGCGATTCAGTCTAATTTCAAACAGACATCAACTCAGGGTTCTACAAGAAGTAGGCTGGAAGGAAGTTAGACGTGGCCAAATCAAAACATGACAAAAATCCATAAAGTCACCAACTACTGGACTGAGCTATGTTCACAGATGCAGACTACTTGTTTAAGGTATGCGAGACGCTACTAACTGGTGGTCAGATACTTTGAACAATACGGCCCAAAATCGTTTGCAATCGAGCAGAAACATCCATTCTTTGTGTTCTCACAAACTCTGATCTTTTGAATCCCTCAACACTTCTATCGTTCTCTTTTCAAATTTATTTCACTGGCTTATGCTACTTGAATAATCTTCTCCATTACCGCTAATACTTCTACTACCTCTACCATTATGGGATTTGAATCGACTAATTCATAGCAGAGTACTTTCATGGAGTAATTAAACGAGAACGAAACGGCTGTTTAATATATTTTCTTATTTTTCAACACATCCACCCCCCAGATGGTGTTAATACACCAGTTTCTGAAGTCATTCATAGTTTTTTCTGAGCCATGTCGGTCGACACAAACAAACTGGTTGAGGTTCACACCATTATCGTGGTTATGTAATATGCCTTAGGATCCGTTTCCTCCTTTCTTAAGCCATATTTTTTTAAGTTTTCATTTCCATTTAGATCATTTTATCTTATCCTACCGATGCGGTATTGAATCTCGAGTTGTGTGTTACATGTGTGTGTGCGTTACATTCCACACTACTTATAAGTCAACTGATTGAACTGATGTACAACTATGAATCAAATTATTTTCATATTAAAACGAATCTCTACAACATACTCTAATGATATTAAGTCAGTCAGATGCAACGTAGAGCTTCGTACGTGAGTGCATCAGTTCATGTCGCCATACCACATCAGCACAGAGATATAATTGTCAATTCAAATCCAATAGTAGAAGAGGTAGTAAGGATATTAGGAGTAATCGAAGGGGTTAGGATTAGAAAATATTATTCAAGAAGTATGATTCAGTGAGAAAAGTTTATAAAGTCAAAACTAGAGTTGTTGAAGAATCCAGAAGATTAGGATTTGAGAGAACACAAAGAATAAATGCACCGGCACCATTGCGAACGATTTTGAGCCATGTCATTCAAGGTCTCTAACCATCGATTATTATCATCTCGCGGACCCCAACCAGGTAGTCGACAATTACTGACATGGCTAAGTCCACTCGTCAATGACTTCATGGATTTGTGCCATGTTTTGGTTTGGCCGCCCCTAACTTTCTTCCAACCTATTCCTACACTACAAAACGAAGCTCGTCGAGGCAGTCGGTGGTTATAGGCATACGCAGCACATGTCCCAACCACCTCAACTGATGAAGTTTCAGCACTTCATCTATTGATCTGCCATTATTACCTACTACTACTTAATATTAATGATATTAAGTAGTAGTATAACTTGTTTGAATAAATAAAATCCTTTTTAAAAAAAAAAAGTACATCAGTCAGAAAATGTTTTAACACAACTTATAGTATCAATAAATAATGTGTTACCTTGTTGTATCGAGCAAAATAATAATCTTTATTAGCTTCAGGATCGGAACTTTCTCGTCTCCAATGATATAAGACTAAATTATCCTAGTAAAATGAACAATTTTTTTTAAAAAAAGCATGAGATATAAAAATAATAATAATAGTAATAATAATAACAATAATACACTACATTCATTCAATGGTAAATCTTGATAAATCAAAATTAATACAAAAAGTCAATCAGAAGTGTCCGGACGGACGAGAAGATCACTTGACGACACCATCAGAAAGATTCTACAGAGTGAATGTCAGTCAGTCAGATGCAACGTAGAACTTCGTACGTAAGTACATCAGTTCATGTCGCCATACCACATCAGCACAGAGATATAATTGTCAATTCAAATCCAATAGTAGAAGAGGTAGTAAAGGTATTAGAAGTAAACGGAGAGGTTAGGATTAGAACATATTATTCAAGATAAGTTTAGAAAGTCAAAACTAGAGGGGTTGAAGAATCCAGAAGATTAGGATTTGAGAGAACACAAAGAATAAATGCACCGGCGCCATTGCGAACGGTTTTGAGCCACGTAATTCAGGGTCTCTAACCATCGACTACTATCATCATGCGGACCCCAACCAGGTAGTCGACAACTACCGACATGACTCAGTCCACTTGTCAATGACTTCATGGATTGATGCCTTGTTTTGGTTTGGCCGCCCCTAAATTTCTTCCGACCTACTTCTACACTACAAAACAAAGCTCGTCGAGACAGTCGGAGTGAATGTGTATCACCAGCAATGAATTCTGCTCTTGCCTTATCGGTTGAGTACCCAGCTTGGGAAGTTAATGTGTATCAAGTTCAGATCTTGGATACTGCATATCATAATAAAAATGTCCCTATTAATCATTTTTTTGATGGTGTTTTGCAAGTGAATCATGTTTGCATCATATAAATATTAAGACAAAAAAGAGATCAAAAAAATAAAATGTAGTTGAATGATTAATGTACAAACAGCGTATTAAGTTTGAAGAGATTATTCACCTCACGGTTGGAACTAGACGTTAACACTGTCGGATACTGGTTCAGTAGTCTAGAGGTTAGGCGTTCGCGCGCGAAACCAAAGGTCATAGGTCTGATTTCCATGTGCAGGTTGACGGATATACACAACCGAGACCTACGCTAAAATGAAACGGCCGTCCAGTGTTTCCAGGTTTCTAATGGTTATCTAGCTACGATCAGTTCGTGATTTTAACTGTGAAAATGATAGTCTCTACAAATCCCCTACACTAAACATAGTCCTATCAACATTATACCCATATCGCGTAAAACGTTTGAAGTTTATTCCTAGTCAGGAATAGAAAGCCAATATTTTCAGTTAAATATCACACACAATATATTACAAAATACAAAAAGAAACAAACTTGTCTAGCGGAATTTGTAAAAGGTGTCCATTGCCAAGAACGAACTCGTCCTACACCAATTACGGCTTTGGGTTGTTTATACAGAGGTGTATTATCAGTTGGCATAATCGGAGGAAGATTACTAAATACATAAAAGTGTAAAGATTGATAAAAAAATAAATACCCGCTACAGTATGATTAAAAATGAGAGATGGTTTAACGACTCATAAATCAAAGTCAGCTTTATTGGATGTTAGCCATATGCAACATGAAACAAGAACCATTGCTTATACACAAAAGGGGCAGTAACTATGATATTAGATTCAGTCTATTAGGTAATGATAGCAAATCAATTCAGGAGGCATTGAATCTTTATCAACTGAGATAATTAGCACATATATTACGTATGTTCATCTACCAACTACTTCAACACACAATGACGACTAGTGTAGGAGTATGTTGGCGTAGGCGAGATATCCGTTTGCTGACTAAAGGACGAGTGTACTGTGCAGCAGTTCGCTCCGTCTTACTATATGGCTGTGAGACACGGCCAGTGAGAGTAGGAGATATTCGTAGGTTACTGGTTTTCGATCATCAGTGTCTTCAAAGAATTGCTCGTATATCCTGGGACACACGAGTGAGCAACGCTGATATTAGGAAACGGGTACTAGGTAAGGATGGCAGATCAATAGATGAAGTGGTGAAACTTTATCAGTTGAGGTGCTTGGGACATGTGTTGCGTATGCCTAACCACCGACTGCCTCGAAGAGCTTTGTTTTGTAGTGTAGGAATAGGTTGGAAGAAAGTTAGGGGCAACCAAACCAAAACATGTCACAAATCCATGAAGTCATTGACGAGTAGACTTAGTCATGTCGGTAGTTGTCGACTACCTGGTTGGGGTCCGCAAGATGATAGTATTCGATGGTTAGAGACCCTGAATGACATGGCTCAAAACCGTTTGCAGTGGCGCCGGTGCATTTATTCTTTGTGTTCTCTCAAATCCTAATCTTCTGGATTCTTCAACACCTCTGGTTTTATCTTTCTTAACTTATCTCACTGAATCATACTTCTTGAATAATATCTTCTAATCCTAACCTCTCCGATTACTTCTGATACCTTAACTACATCTACTGCTATTGGATTTGGATTGACAATCATATCTCTGTGCTGATGTGGTATGGCAATATGAACTGATGTACTTACGTACGAAGTTCTAGGTTGCATCTTACTGACTGACTGATGTTGGAAGACAACTTGATGTGGCTGAGTGAAGACATGGTATCAGTCAATGACAACACTAACTATTGAACTGAACTATGTAAGCAGTCGCAGACAAGCTGGTTTGAGTCCACGTGATCATAGTAACCAGTGGTCAAGGTTAAGATCATTCACAATGGCGCAGGTGCATTCATTGTCTTCTCTTGTATTCTAGGTTCGTAAATTTTTAATTTTACTGATTTATATTTCTTTCTGAAAATGTATCTTCGACGACTTGTTTTTGTTTTACTATCTTTCATACTGTTACTACCTCTGCTAAAAATTTGGGATTCCTACTGATAGCTTCATCTCGCTATAATGATGAGTTACGACAATTTGCAATAATATAGACATGAGCCACGTTCGATATTGTGTATAATTGATTGACTGACTAACTGACTGATTGATCAATGGTTGAAAGGAACCAATAAAAAGTGAATATGAGCACACTGAGAATTGTTTCCGAAAAGCTTTTACAAAAAACTAGACTCAGACTCATTTACAAGATGAGTCCGACTTTCATAGTACATGTTTCTCACACTTTTTACATATGTCTGGCTAAGCAATGTTGAATAACCAAACAGTTTAGGTTCATATTGTCCAATTTTAGGTGACATTTAAAACAATGGGTCACACTGTCATACATTAGGTTTGGTGATAAAACTCATTCGAGATTCTGTCAGACAATTACTGAATACGAAACCATGTGACATAAGAAATCAAATCAATACCCAGAAACCTTTCAAGGAGCTTAGTAAACAGACAAACTTCAGTCTTCTGAAATTTGTTGAAGCCATCTCTTCCAGGTGTTATGAATCTCATTTATGTATTTAAAAGTTGGTTATTAGTATGTTTTTTTCCTCTTGAGGCTACACATTTTTTCATGACATCAGGAAAAAAAACTTTCGACTCCCTCTAATTAAGTGCATCACTTGGCATTTTTATTGGAACTATCTTTTAGACTAGTAATCTTATTTGAGCTAAATGAGCCTTGCTTATTTTATCCTTACTTATTATTAGCACTAGTCCATTGTGTAATTGTCTCTTTCTAACCCTTTGGCTTTTTGTTGTTGTAGAGTGGTTTCACACAAAATATACGTATAGCATCTTATTCGATCTACTATGCTTGTTTACCTCCTTACTACACTGGTATGTGATCGCAGCAACTTCTAATCACAGCCTTTCATGCAAATAACTTGAACTCATTTATTAAGGATGATTTATAAACATTACAAGCTGTAGACAGCTGAAGAGAAACAAACGAAGTCAAATGAATACATGCTATTTGGATCAAATCTTCGTTTTCTTTCTCTGATAAAGGGAATCATGTGTGAAAAAAAACTATGAGGAAATGATAGGCTACATAGGTACTTATTTAGTTGTTATTTTCCAAAGAAGGTGTAACTAAATGATTTAATCTGTCATAGAGTAGTAATGAAAATATCAGCCAACTACATAAATTATCCATAGGAACTATTATTGATAAACAGGTTGAGGAATTCTTAACAATAGTATTTATGAAATGATTCTATCTTATACTAATTACAGGTTAATGTAATCAGCTTTCAATCATGTTGTTCGTCTAAAGCCTAGTCATAATACCTGAATGCTGAGAGGGCGTCAAACTGGTTTCAAATCGAATGTTTCAGCTACCAAGATATTGACCTAACTGATAAGCCATCATCTAAAGAATGATTACGTAGAAGATAGTTTTCAATGTAAACCAGTACATGAAATAACTTGTGAAGCGCAAATAATAGCATGCGCTAATTTCCTTAAAAAATAAAGTCAATACATATATTGTAAGGATGACATAAAAATGTCTGGTGGTTATATATACGTCAATTTTGTAAACAGAAAGCCGGTAATTATAAATAAAACATTTGAAGATGCATAAGGGATTTTGTGGACAGATAAACTATTAGTCAAATGCATACAGTTATAGAATTCAATGGCTGGGAATTTATTGAATCATGGTGATATCTTTATGAAACGAAAACTCACTTGTTAAGAGTACTGTGTAAACCCCAAACTTCACGCGGAACATGGTCTGGTCTTTTGGGTGGTGGATTAGGACGAGAAGTTTTTCTCTATATTGTTAATAACGTTTAAAATCAAATTATTATTTTACTTTCTCTGTGCGACTCAGAATAGCTTCTCTGTCAAGCATAGACTTTCTGGGACTTGGTTCATTAAGGTCGAGAATATCAAGGACATCTATTGCAGTACCCATTGTTCAAGGGATAAGGTAACTAAAAACAAATATTAAGAGAAAACCGTTAAACAAATTTGATCACACTTTAATATATATAACTCTAATCACCGGGGAAAAGGTGTTTTTCACCGGCATTACTTACCGGTTTCCATTAATTAGTCTATAATATAGGCCATTTGAAACGATTAAAGTGTCAGAACTTAACAGTCTGTCTGTGAAATGAAAAGATTGACACCTACTTTGGATTTGATTTTCGATATAGGTGGTTTAAGTTACAGGATATGACACTTGAATGTTGAGAATTGCAACGGCACTAAGTTAGCAAGCCATCATTTAACTCAGTAGAATCTGCAAGACTTGTACTATTAGCTTCATACAATATGGTTTGTGTCAAGAAATACACCGGACATTTCACAAGCATACGATTATAGAAAACGATCACACGAATAGGGATCCGCAAGATCCTTGCAACAATTCGCGTCCCAAAAGAAAACCTAGACTTCGGTTATGTACATAATTTGAAAATTAATGTGTGGAAATACATTTTCTTACTGGATATCATCTAATCCAGAATCAACCACCTTTAGGATGACCAGTAAGGCATCTACATGAAAAGCTGGTTGGGCACAATGAAAAAGACTGAGATTGTAAGACCAATGACTTCATTACATATTCAAAGAACGTTTTTAAACAAACTATTTGGCTTTACAGACACTGCAACTGTACTTTCAGTCTACCAAAAAGCTACAGCTAGATATTTCAATGATAAAAATTTGATGGTTGTAGTGAAACGTGTCAAAGAAGGACTATTAAACGTCAAAAACACCTGACTCAATAACATAGGATATGTAAGACCCTATAAACAAACAAATTATTTAGCACTTATGTAACATACCGACAAAAAGTAGGATTATTACTTCGGTAACGCAAAATTTGTCCCGGGCGCTTCAATTTTCAATATCCAATACCTTTATTCCACAGGTATTAACTGATCGATATATCTGCCGTCGCTACTTGTTGGTTCAGTGCGCTTCACCGCATTCCTTGGAGATCAATTATTCGAAGTTTAAACGCTCGATTGCGCTAACTCTAAGGATTTTGTGGACTTGGCTATCTGTAACCTCAATGACTTCGTTTGTCCCAGTAAAGTAGTGTTTGTCGAACCAAAGGCTATCATTTTACCAGGCTGGAGATAGATCGTTTGATATGTGAAAAAATCAAGGAATATTTGGTGCTCAAGGGTTGAGAGAAGACGATTATCTCAAGAAGTAGGTGAACAAAAAATTAATTAATTAATGCAAACTGCATGAGAAGACCAAATTATAAGAATAACAGGTAAATAAGAACGATGAGAAACGGTATATAAATAAGTACATAGTATATGATATTGATAGCAATAGGTTAGTTATAAGACATATATAGCGCACAGATAATCTAATGGTGAATCGGTAATTCATAGGGAAGTACGTGTATATTGGAACTCCTCCAATAGATATCCACTGGGTGATCCGTGGACACTCGAGTTTCACAGATTGATCTGAGCTTTTTTCTTGGTTTCAAAAGAGAGTCGTACGAACTTAGTGGTGATCTGTTAGTCTAGCCAAGCCATTTAAGTGGAACAGATTCAGCGAATTAAACGGGTGCTTGTAAAAGTCATTACTAACGTAGAAATAGAACATGAATGATAACATCGGATTAAATAGACAAGCATGTGTCAAGACGAACAAGATCATGCTTTTTTCCCTAACCTACCAGTCGTACTTTTCGAATATGTTCCTGTTAAATAATTTTGAATGGACAACAGCTAGAGGATAACTGATGTGTATTTTGACCGTGGAAGACTGCAGAGTGCGGTTAACTAAAGTGCTATATGCTAGCCTGTAGTCTAAGAAATATTCCGGCTTACACAGAGCAAGTAACTGCGAAAGAGCTTACCGCTTTCACCTTGTTAAATATCTACAAAAGATTCTTTCGTAAATGAGCATCTTTCATCATATATATATATATATATATATATATATATATATATATATATACTATGGTACCTAGATTCCTGACACTTTAAAAAAACCATAATCCTACATCACGTCGAAATATAAGAACAGACAGATCAAACAGAAAGCCACCAGCTCTGCGTTGTTTAGTATGTCATCATAGACACCAAAATAAAGCAGTCTACTATCTTCCACATATTTAAGAACAAAGGCTCAAAGAGCAAACAAAATGGCGTAGTTTCACTGGTTATCAATGAAACACCACTGGGTAATGTGTGGATATAATAATAGCTCTTCACCAGTTGCATAACCTAATGGACAGGTATATTTTGTCAGACATCTGTCAAGTAGCGTACGATTAAACTTTTGAAACAGATATTCAAATATGGAATAATCTCTTGATCTGCCACCAAATGCCTGTTTAACACTAATAAACTATGTGAGCAAACTATATCTTGACTGCAAAACTAAATAATATATTTTTTATCAGCAAGACAAAAGTAATATATTACAAGGCTGAAAGTAGTAGATCACTCGAGACTTGATTAACACATACTCGCATGCGGATCATAATCATTTTAACCAGATGTGCCTGATGAATGACTCGAAATTTTCAACTTGTTATCATTGTCATTCTTTACATCATCAACTTATTTCATCTCGCATATTATCTCTTTTTTCCTCTTCTTTGATTACACGTCTGATCTCCCACCTGGTAATTTGACACCTAGTATACAGAAACTCTTCCGTCCTGAAACAAAAGCACAAAACTAAACAACCAGATTGCAGCAATACCAATTCATTAGTTTTGTCTACTTTCAGAATATTTATTTGTTTCAGTGTTGACGTCCATTCTGGGTTCAAAAACAAAACATTCGGCTTCAATCAGCAGCATATTAATTAGGGAGAAAGGAGTATTTCGGACTTGAATGATAGGTACTTTATTGAGCGAGTCAAGATACCAGATTGACTATGCTCACCAATAAATGTTCCATAATATCCCGCCGTCATTAAAATCAAAATCAATCCATGGTTGAGTATTTTATTGAAGGAGAACGTTGGCATTACATGGCGAGCAGGGCATTTAGAAAAATGGCAGCAACGCAAAAGGAACGTTGGGCGCAAGAAGTAGAAGAAGTGTTTATGGTACAGTTAAACAAAACAAGTACAATAATGTTTATTTTTCACAAATTGTATTTTCTTTGTAGAAGCGTTCTACTACAGCAGCCCCTGCTTAGAAAGGGTTTACACTTTCGATACATAGCGGCTGCGTTCGGGGGGCTGGTCGGCCAATATTTGATTTTAGTGCGGATGGGTTGACGAACAGGAAGCGGCCAATGGAACTCGAGTCGTCACCGATAGTCTTCTACGTTGAATTGTACCAGTAGTAACGTGCCAGCTTTGCTGCTCGAGTTGACGTGCCAAGTTTGTCTATCGCACTGGCATGCCACACCAGCGTGGCTCGTATTCAGAGTCTGAAGATTGCGTTCGTAGAGGTTCGGACCAGATGGGGCTGCAGACGTATGACAGAACCAGACTGAGCGAAGAAGACAGAAACGACCAGTGCGAAACCATTCGTATACCATATATATTCGTAACCAAAAGATCGACTAAGTGCATTGACAAGAGCGTGGGTGATCAGGCTAGCTTTCGCCAAGGTTGACTGAAGTCGACGGTACCAACAGGGTAATGGTCGGAGGTATAGGTTCGGGATAAAAAAAAGGAAAAGGAGAAAAGTGTGGCCTGCATGTAGTATGAAGGTAAAATCCTATGCCGCGTCTGTGGTCGATTGGTAGTCAGTCGAGAAAGCGTACAGGTAGGCGTACGCGGCAAGCGGAACGCGAGACCGTAGCCTCGTGCGTACCTCGTGAGCCTACATTCTCATCCGCGGTCAAGTGCAGTGTGGTCTGCTGATCTGGACGTGAGACCTGAGTCTCATCCGTAGATAGTGCAGATGGCGCGTGCTGCTGACTGGGACGTGAGAATGAGGTCTTTGGTTTGTCTAGCGTGGGATCAGAAGGAAAAATAAGGATCCCGCTAGTGAGTTGGACGAGTCCAGCATTAAATCTCGATATACCAGGTAGGGCACTGCCATTGACGTATGCTGGTATGAGACGATAAATGCTGACTGTCCCTCAGCCTTGAAGGTCTTTTCGTGACGAAAGATCACGTGAAAAGATCCTTCCTAAGTTTGTTGTGCACCGAATCTTCTAGTAAGAAAACTTGCGGACAGGTAAATAACTCTCGTGGGAGGGCGACCTGTCGATATTATATTCGAGTTCACAGCGGAGGCAGTATTCGCATCTACGAAGATAGTTGTTGGACGTTATCTGATATACCTAAAATCGCTCCTCCGTGGTGTGAAAAAATTCCCCAGGTAGATGCAATGTCGTGCGGTATACAAGTTCGGGGGCGGAACATTGGATATCTGCCGTTGCTGCTCCGTAATCGCCATGTCGTCTCCAACAAATGCCATCTGTTTGCGAACCGAGTGGAGTCTTAAGGACTGTGAGAAAGACGAAGTAATACATATAGCAAGTAAACTGTCTGACTCACGTTTAGCGAAAACTAGTCTGTCCAGTGCCAGTCGGCGAGGTTTGGCCGTGACTGGGGGTCTGCTGGTGACGATGTGGCTTGCCGCATAATTAATCACCAGTTGAATCTAGTCGGTTTCGTTACGTTGGGGAATTTATCGTATATAACATGAAATAAATAATAATACAAAATATATATATTGGTGATTCGGCACATATCTGTTTGCGCGTTAAAAACCATGGATTTGATATTCGACGAAGTATCAATTAACACAGCCTACGTGAATCGAATAGCAATTCATAGTGCTGTAAGGAATCGATACCGAGTACGCCTATGGGAACAACAGCAGGAATGAACGACTATAGATACTGTCGTCGATTATTCAGGTTGATAGTTAGCTATCGTGTACCGTAGGTAGGAATGACAGAGCCATTCGCAGTGCGTGGTCGAAGCATCGTAGCTTATGACTTACTGCTAACAAACGATACGACAGAAACTTGAGCACTT